GTGTGTGTGTGTGTGTGTGTGTGTGTGTGTGTGTGTGTGTGTGTGTATGTGTTTGTGTGTGTGTGTGTGTGTGTGTGTGTGTGTGTGTGTGTATGGGGGGGCACTTTGCCCCTCCCCCGCCCCCCCCACTGGGACCAGCAACGTCGTCTCTTGGGGCCTCTTGGGCCGCTCTTGGCCGCTCTTGGGGCCGTCTGGGGAGCTTCTGGGGCTCCTCTTGGGCCTCTCTCGGCCCGACGTGGGGCCATCTTGAGGCCTCAAAATCGCATCGGAAGTGAATGTCGAGAAAGCAACCATCACCGATGCTCATCTGTTGTTTTGGTGGGTTTTGGCTTCTTGGGGGGTTCCGAGAGCACTTGGAACCGTCGTGTGGCCCGCGTCGGGTCTCTTGCAGGTATGCTGGAAGCTATCTTGAACCATCGTTTGCTATCTTGACTCATCTTGGGGGCCATCTTGGAGCATTGGAGGCCCTCTTGGAGCCATCTTGGGCGCTTTGACACTTCGCGGTCCACTCCGGAGAACCACAGGGAGGTGGGAGGTAAACCTTCCAGAAAAAGGAACAGGTTTTTGGAAGAGGAAATAAAGAACTCGTTCGATCACCTTAGCCCAATGGGCTGGTGGGAATCAGGGTTGCTCTCTAGATGCATGGTGGTCGCGTTGCCGTTACGGCCAGGCCTGCATCTGTTTTGTGTGTTTAGGCGCCACATGAATTGGTCTGTCAGGAGCTGGCCCAGAGCTGAGCTGGATCTGGAGCTGGGGCTGTGGCTGGAGCTAGGGCTGGAGCTAGAGTTGGATCTTGAGCAGCATCTGGAGCTATGGCTGGAGCTGGGGGTGGAGGGAAGCTGTAGCTGAAGCCCAGCTGGAGCTGGAACTGGGGCCTGAGCTGGAGCTGGGAGTTGGGGCCAGAGATTGAGCGGGGTGGGAGCTCGAGCTGGGTTGGAGCTGGAGCGAAGCTGGAGCTAGGGCTGGTGGGGTTCGAATTAGATCTGAGGCTCGAGTTGGGGCTCGAGCTGGGGCTGGAGCGACGCTGGGGCTGGAGCTGCAGCTGGCGCTGGAGCTTGGGCTGGAGGTGGAACTGCGGCTGGTGCGAAGCTGGATACGGAGCCGGAGATGGGGCTAGAACTGGGGCGGGGGCTGGAGCTGGAGCTGGATCTGGAGCTGGAGCAGGAGCTGAGCTCGAGCTGTGGTCGGAGCTAGGGCTTGAGCCAAAGCGAACCTGGAACTGCAACTGGATCTGGAGAAGGAGCTGGGCCAGGGCTGGAGCTTGGGCTGGAGCTGGAGCGCCAGACGATGGACAGTTAGAAGCATCAGGCCCAGGAGTAGAGTTTTGTCAACGTGCAGAGCAAGAAGCACTGGACGTTCGGCTCCAGACATTCAAAACCAGGCTTAGGAGTAGACATCTGGCTGCACGAGGAGCTGGGACCCCGTGCGTGTGCACCTGGATGATCCGAATCAGTTCGGGCAGTGGGGTTCTGGCAAGACGAACAAGCGTCTGGCAGTAAGGATTGCATCCGGACGCTCAGAATCAGCCCCCCAACGTGGAGTTTTTGCAAGACGAAACAGCGTCTGGTTGTAGGGCTGTATTCAGATGAACAGAATCAGGCTGGTGAGAGCAGTCCTGGCAGCACCAGAAGTCTGGTTCCTCTCACTGACCTGGTGGCCTCAAGCTGAAACAGACAGTACAAACCCTCCATGACAAGTGTTGCCACGGAGAACTCATATCCCCGCTTCTTCCAAAAGCGTCTTAGGGGGTGGTTCAGCAAGCTCGCCAACGAAGAGTCCACCACCGACACGCGCGTAGAGCAGCTGACTCTCATGAAGGACCGCTATTGCTCGGCCGCGCGGCCTGCTCCAAACGGTTGAGGAGGGGGCAGCGGGAGGAGGTCGAGCTCCGCCTCGGATCATACGGTCGAGACGCTGAAATTATGACCACTTGAGGCTCAGCAGGGGCTCGGGCTTCTGGGCCTTTCCTTCGATCCGTGTCGGGGGGCCTGTCCGCGTCCGAGGCTCGCCGTGGCCAGGAAATCCAACTTCGCTCCTTCTGTGGCATCCATTGTGGTGGGTCGCCGGGTGACTGTAGCGCAAAAGGGAGAGAAGGAAGCGGGTGGGAAGAGGACGGAGAAGTATGCGAAAGGGCCCCGAGATGATTCCACACGGTTCTCGTGCATTTCTGGCGGGTTTCTGGACGGCGGTCTGCAAGTTTTTGGACGATGAGGAGGAGGGTGCAAGGGTGCAATTGCTCAGATCCATGATCAAGCGCCAACCGGGCCCGACAGCTCGGGCATTAGCAGCCTCCTTCCATTCGTGTAACTGTTAAGCAGTCCTAAGCTTCTGATCGGAAGTTCGGATGAAGTCTCGAGCGAAAGCCTCATTTTAAAATCAAGGTGTCTTTTACCAGTGTCACCCGCACGGAAGTTTTAGCTTTGGTCTGATGCTATTAGGACGCTGCATATGCTGATCCAATTTTAATGACCAGCCGCTTTCAATCCGGGCAATGAGCGGAAGCTTTCAAGACGATTTTGCCTGGAGCTCGGACGATCGCCACATTTTGACCACGGACCACCGTCCATCCGTGAATATGTTCGGAATGTTTAAGACGAGTGTGCGCAGTTCTAAGACAAGAGCCGTATGTTGAACGAGAACCGCCCTCCCTCCGAGTATATGTTGCAAGTATGTATGGCGAGCGAGCGCAAATCTAAGAAGAGAGTTAGCAACATTTTGGAACGATGCGCCCAGCATTCATGCAGCCGTTGGGCCTTTCACATTTCAGTATCATGAGTGGTGATGACTTCTCAGGTGAAACGCCGTTGCGACCCTACTAACACGTTGTTATCTGACGATGAAGGGGATCTACTAATAAAGCAGGGGGTGGAGAAGCAGGAGGAGTCCCGGCCCCAGAACTCCGTGATCGCGGAGAAGGCCCTCCCGAACGGAATCACCCGCGAAGACATCGTGAAAGGCATCCGGAACGTGAAGTATAACATCGGGTGCACCAGGCGCGCAGCCGAAGACACTTTGATGCAGTTTGCCGTGTTAGGGCTTCTCTACCGCTCTTTCCTGCTCTTGCCTCGTCTTCTCCATAGCACTTCTTGCTCGAGTTCAATCTGCGGGGCTTCGGCGGCTTGAGCTTGTTCGCAGCTGTGGGGATCGACACGAAGGCGCCTGCTCACATAAATGCTGCGGCCGCCTCTTTTTGGGGTAGCACTCGCAGGCGCGAACTACGCGCCGCTGTCTTGTTTCTCCTCCTCCACCTCTTCCGCCTCCTTGTGTCGTCTTCCTCTCTGGCAAGGCGTTCCTCCGCTGCACGCTGCGGAGCAAGATCGTCGCCTGGTTGGGTGGGTGATGGTGCAGAAAATCCCAAGGGCTAGGATGTCAAATGGACCGCTTAGCGCGACCATCGCGTTCGCACCATCAGGTTTCGATCCGACCTCCAGACGTACTTCAGCAATCGCCAGCGTGCAACCTCGGTCGTCGAGACGGGCACACCCCCGGCCTTCTGAAGCAGGGTGGGAAATCCATGGGCAAACTCCGCCTTGGGTGCAACGGTTTCCAGGGCCTCGTCCACTTCCGTCGCCAGGGCGACGTTTTCGAGTTCTGCTGGATTCGGGGCAGCACCGAGAAGGGATATCACAATGAGCCGAACTTTGATAGCTGATAGCTTCAAGTACTGGGGCGTTAGCGAGAGGGATGTCACAGAGACTTTGGTATCGCTGAACATCTCCAGCGATGACGCTCCCGCGCGACAGCACGTTCAATTGGTCTGTGCTGCACGGGGCGCGACTGACGGCGGCAGTATCGAGGTATCGGGTGCCGAGCGCTGTGGGAGCCTCACCACCCCGGATAGCTTGCGACAGCAGTGAGCATTCTCCAGTTGCAGAACGCAGGCAAGCATCCAGTAGTGATTGTTCGGAGCGAGCTATGAATATTTGCAGAGCGATCGATCTCACGCCATCGAGGTTTAATCACGCCGCTCTACGGGCCAAGTGGCCCCTGCAACGATTCAGGTGCAGCACCAGCGAGAACCATTGTGGCCTTCTTTGCTGCCGCTCGCAAGCTTTTTCGAGGCCATCCAAGCGCCTGAGCTGAAGGCGATGCGGCGGAGTGGTGCCTCCTTCCCCGTCTCCTCCTCGACCTTCTCCACTTCCTTTTCTCCCCCTTCTTTTCCTCCCTTCTCAGTGTCCTCCTATCGTCCCTCTTCCTTCGTCCCGTCCTCCTGCCAGTTTCTTTCTTGCTCTCCGCTGCGGCTGCGCAATCAACACCTGCAAACCAGCTTCTCCGTCCAGAGCGCATGAGAGCTGTCTAGCCTCCCTGAGAGGTGCTTCCACCGTGAACGCTGTAAAGCTTGAACTGCTGCGGCCATGTGGCAGATTGCGGTGTTTCTGCAACGATCTATTGGCCTCGCTGGTGCTCTCGTGAGCCTTTGGGGCACATTTTCTGGGGCCGTGGTCTCAAGATCAGCATCCTCAGCATCCCGTGGGCTCTTCGAGAGTACTCGGGTTCACCTAGGGATGTTAGTTCTTGAAGCGTAGTTGCTGGGACTCCTGAACCCCCTCTGGTCAGGACCATGGGGGCGCAGAAGCGAGGAGCAGGAGGAGGAGGAGGAGGAGGAGGAGGCGGAGGAGGGCGCTCTCACCTCTGGACATTACGCAGAACAAGTTATGTATGGTATCCTTTGGGGCCTCTAGCGTCCACGTGGGAGCCTCCTGGGACGTATTGGGGCGACCTTGGAAGCACCCTGAGTTCAAGAGCAAGGCGCGCCAGGATGTCCAAGCCTGCAGGGTGACCAGATGAGGCTCACACTTTCTTGTGGTGCAACGTGCGACAATGCCCAAGCGCGAAATAATCCTACGGAGGGGCGGGGGACTACCGGGGGAATTTGGGAGGATGAGGAGGAGGAGGAGGAGGGGGTCACGTACCTGCGCCACGAGCACTTTCTCGGCCGCTGATGTTTCAGGCAAGTCTTGCTTCGCTTTTCGCATTTCTCAGCTGCAGGGCCAGCAATGCCTCTGCGCCCAAGCTGAATGCCACAATCTTCTTTCTCGATATTAATCCTCCATGGTGGGCCTCCTCGGGTGAACGTCGTTTTGCCCGTGCTGCTGATGCTCACACCACCACAACCTGGGTTAACATTTTCAGCCTCCTCATCATCAACGTCCTCCTCCTTTTCCTCCTCTTCGTCCCTCGTCTCCTTTCCCTCGTCTTCCTCCTCCTTGTCCTCCTCCTCTCCGTCTTCAGCCTCAGTCTTCTCCGTCCCTTCCTCATCTTTCGCACCACTGTTCCTCTCCCGCTCCTACCCTCCTGCTCCGACTGCTATACACTAGCAGTTCTGCCCAGGGACAAGCCCAAGAAGGACCCCGACTGCAAGGCAGTTGAGAAGGGTTACATGCAGCTTCTCGCCACCATCGACAAGGTTCGAGCCAGTCTGGACGGTCAACAACCCAACCTCTGGAACCTCTTGCGACGAGAGTGCGCAATCTTTGGATTTGAAATTTGACCAGGAGTTGTTTTTGTACGTTCTCTGCCTTGGGGGGGTGGAGGGGTTTAGCCTACGACCGCCCCGGAAGCCGCCATCCTCCTCGGTTATGCCTTCAGAGTTTCTTATCCGATCGGCGCGGTGAAGTGTTGCTTTCAGACTCCTCAGGGTTTTCCCGCTAATGAGTGATACCCCATCTGCCATCTGCCATCTGCCAACTTTAGTTTGACATCTGCCATCTGCCAACTGCCAACTTGTTTTCTGCCATCTGCCAACTTTAGTTTGACATGCGTCTGTTGTCGACCGGCCATTCTGGCCCCAAAGACGTACGACCGGAACATCATCACGCGCTGAGTGGCAGGCAGCTTTGCGCACTTTGAACTGCTTTTGCAGCAGCTTTTCAACTCCGTCCTTTCGTTGCCCGACGCTTGCGCTCGGTATGGGGAATGAGGCTTCGCTCGGCACCAAGGTCGTCGCGGCGGAGACAGGGCAGTGTCACTGAGAGTCCTGGGTGTGTTGGGCTTGGACGGCCGAGTTTGCTTTTTTTGAGGTTGGGGGGGTCGGGGTCGGCGCCAGGATGAGCTGTGTCCCAGGTCGGCGAGTCAGGGGCTTCTCCTTAAGTCAGTGGTTATGCTGCACTGTTGCCATCCTGCCCCAATGACGCAGTTCCGTTAGTACGCACAAGGCATTTTTTGTTTGTTTGTCGTATGGGATACTTCAGGTGTGTATGTTGTGTGTGTCATTGAACGCCTGTGGCTACTTGCGCCACTGTGTGCGAGGGTCTCCTGAACGCACATGCTGTAATGGACCTCCGCCCTCGCATGTCTAACTTTAGATGCATTTCGCCAACTCTGAGACTGTCTGCTGTCAACATGTATGCCCTGTACATCCTCAGCCGATTTTCTGCGTTCTTCATTGGTTCGATGTTTCCGCGTCTCATTTCAGATCTCCTTCCTGCTCACACTCAGATGCCCCCCAATCCAAGTCGAGACCGCCTGCTTTATGCAGGCATCTTCTGTTTGAGTTTAGACGCCTTCCCCGTTTGAAGATCCTGGTATTAAAGACGCCTGCGGCGAACCGCCGCGGAGGATGATGCTGCTGCTGATGATGATGATGATGATGCTGATGATGATGTTGATGATGATGATGATGATGAGGAGGAGGAGGAGGAGGCAGGAGGAGGAGGAGGATGAGGAGGAGGAGGAGCATGACCAAATGACTAAGTCAATCAATCCATCACTGCATTCAACAAGCACTCATGAATTACGCCTTGCGTCTGGAGGCCTGTTCCGCTTTGCTCAAGAGTTTTGGCCAAGAACCCTAGGACATTCGTCGCAAATTTTCGGCCCTGGCGGGGGGCGATTCGAGGCACACACACACACTTTACCACGGGCTGAAAGTTGCTGCGAACCAGAGCTGCCCCAATTTTACAATACCACAACTTCAGATCACCGCGATACTGCATCTTGTGGCTGGAGTGAACGAAACGTCCAGCAATGCGCACTTCGGCATAGGGGCGATTCTTCCAGATCGCACCTTCACAGTTGGTGGGAGAGAAGCACGCGGTCCTGAGCCACGAGGTTCGCGCGGCCTTTGGAACGGATCCATCCGCACCTGCTGCTTCTACACCCTGTGCTGTCCCCACTGACTGGGACGAGGCGGGAAGGGCGAGGGATGCAGCAGCAGGGGGGCGGGGATGGAGCAGGGGCGTTTTTTTGTTGACAACACACCCTCGCTCCGTTCCCTCTCTTCGGCGGTCATCGAATCAAGAGGAGGAGGAGGAGGAGGAGGAGGAGGAGGAGGAGGAGGAGGAGGAGGAGGAGGAGGAGGAGGAGGAGGAGGAGGGAGGAGGGAGGATGAGAGACAGGACGGGCGCCGAAACCTGTATCCATTGCTCCCTGACCAGACCCATCCTGAACCCAGCAGCGGGAGTGGCCCTGGGAATGCACATCCGAATGAGACGAGCCACCCTTTCACGCATGAGCCCCTCGTGGCGGACGGCTTTTCTGGGAGGCGGGCCTCGGGTGCCGCCCTGTCCCGCCATCTTTTCAGCAAGCAAGTTGCCTGCCACCGTCCACAGTGGAGCACGACCGTCTACGATGTCCGTGACAGAGAGGTGTGAATTCACCAAGATGACCGGTCTGGCACCACGACCCCGCTTTTTTTGTCAGCAGCCACCCAAGCACCGCACCGCCCACAGGTCTGCATCCTCACCCGTGGGCGCCTCAAAGTCCTGAAGCCACTGGCTCACAATCTGACATTCACGCTATGGGTCCTGTCGTGATCCGCACGGCCAGGAGCAAAGCACGCAGCGCTCCCCGAGCAGCGGCCCGCCTGGGCCCCGAAGGCGGGCCACGTACAGTCGAGGCCAGCTGCAGCTCTGGCTCTGAAGCGCACATGATCACGATTGCTATTCCTACCCTGCGAACCAACCGACTGCTGGTGTCTGGGCCCCCGCTCGCATCTCCGAGCACGAAGCGGATGTGCGCTTGGCTACGGCGAGGGCCACAGTTGGGAACTGATATGCCCTCCATCCGCAAAGCTCTTGCAAGCTCTTATAAGACGAATGTGCGCGGCGCTAGGGCGAGGGCCACATGTTGAACACCGCCGCCCTCCATCCGTGAAGCTTTTGCAATATTTTTTGACGAGTGTGCACGGCGCTACGGCGAGAGTCACGTTTTGAAAACCACCCGCCCTCCGTCCGCGAAACTTGTGCACGCTTTTGAGACGAATGTGTGCGGCGCCAAGACGAGAGCCAACTTTTTAACAACGACCCACTCTCCATCCATGAAGCTGTTGCACGTTTCAAGATTCAGCATCACAAATGGTGAGGGAATCAGGCGAAACGCCTGGGCCGCCCGATCGACCCGTTTCGGGGTGCGACAGGGGGGGAGTTACTTATAAGCAAGGGGCTGGATGATGAGGAGGTGGAGCTGGGTAAGGACGACGACGCTGCTGCTGCTGCTGATGATGATGATGATGGTGGTGATGATTATGATGATGGTGATGATGATGATGATGATGATGATGATGATGATGATGATGATGATGATGTTGACGAGGCTGCTGATGATGGTGATGGTGATGGTGATGGTGATGGTGATGATGATGCTGATGATGTTGACGAGGCTGCTGATGATGATGATGCTGATGCTGATTATGGTGACGATGCTAATGCTGATGCTGATGCTAATGATGGTTATGATGATGCTGCGGATGCTGATGCTGATGTTGCTGCTGCTGACGATGCTGATGCGGATGATGCTGATGATGTTGATGATGCTGATGATGGCTATGATAATGTTGATGATGTTGCTGCTGATGATGCTGCTGCGGCTGATGATGATGTTGATGATGATGCTGATGGCACGGATGATGATGCTGCCGAGTAGTAGTAGTAGTAGTAGTAGTAGTAGTAGTAGTAGTAGTGGTGGTGGTGGTGGTGGTGGTGGTGGTGGTGGTGGTGGTGGTGGTAGTGGTAGTAGTCGTAGTCGTAGTCGTTAGTAGTAGTAGTAGTAGTAGTCGTCGTCGTCGTCGTCGTCGTCGTCGTCGTCGTCGTCGTAGTAGTAGTAGTAGTAGTGGTAGTAGTAGTAGTAGTAGTAGTAGTAGTAGTAGTAGTAGTAGTAGTAGTAGCCGCAGCAGCAGCAGCAGCAGCAGCAGCAGCAGCAGCAGCAGTAGTAGTAGTAGTAGTACAGTAGTAGTAGTAGTAGTAGTAGTAGTAGTAGTAGTAGTAGTAGTAGTAGTAGTAGTAGTAGTAGTAGTAGTAGTAGTAGTAGTAGTAGTAGTAGTAGTCGTAGTAGTAGTAGTAGTAGTAGTAGTAGTAGTAGTAGTAGTAGTAGTAGTAGTAGTAGTAGTAGTAGTAGTAGTCGTAGTAGTCGTAGTCGTAGTAGTAGTAGTAGTAGTAGTAGTAGTAGTAGTAGAGTAGTAGTAGTAGTAGTAGTAGTAGTAGTAGTAGTAGTAGTAGTAGTAGTAGTAGTAGTAGTCGTAGTAGTAGTAGTAGTAGTAGTAGTAGGAGGAGGAGGAGGAGGAGGAGGAGGAGGAGGAGGAGGGAGGAGGCGGAGGCGCGGAGGAGGAGGCGGAGGAGGAGGGCGGAGGAGGAGGAGGAGGAGGAGGAGGAGGAGGAGGAGGAGGAGGGGAGGAGGAAGAGGAGGTGGAGGTGGAGGAGGTGGAGGTGGAGGAGGAGCGGAGGAGGATGAGGAGGAGGAGGAGGAGGAGGAGGAGGAGGAGGAGGAGGAGGAGGAGGAGGAGGAGGAGGAGGAGGAGGAGGAGGAGGAGGAGGAGGAGGAGGAGGAGGAGGAGGAGGAGGCGGAGGAAGGAGGAGGAGGGAGGAGGAGGAGGAGGAGGAGAGGAGGAGGAGGAGGAGGAGGAGGAGGAGGAGGAGGAGGAGGAGAGAGGAGGAGGAGGAGGAGGAGGAGAGGAGGAGGAGGAGGAGGAGGAGGAGGAGGAGGAGGGAGGAGGCGGAGGAGGAGGAGGAGGAGGAGGAGGAGGAGGAGAGGAGGAGGAGGAGGAGGAGAGGAGGAGGAGAGAGGAGGAGGAGGAGGAGGAGGAGGAGGAGGAGGAGCCCTCAGGCCGCGGGCAGAGGGCCTCGGACCCTGGACGAGCTCTACGCCAGCTTCGCGGCGCTGCTCGAGAAGGACTTGGGCGGCCTCTTCGACATGGAGCAGGAGGACCTGATGAAGTGCGCGGGGCGCGGCGAGCCCGTTCGTTTTCAGGAGGGCACCATCAGCGCCAGCAGTAAGGGGGCACGCGCCCGCGGCTCCTCACAGGCGCGTACCTGGCACAGGATCGCGGCGCTGCTTTGGGAGGAGCTGGCCAGCAGGCGTCGCCTGCGGGCGCCGCACCTCGTCTCGAGGGAGCTGACCACGCTGGCGCGGCTGCAGGCCAAGCTCGGCAAGCTGGCGGCGCAGGACCTGGTCGGCGACATCGGCCTGAACGAGGCCCAGAAGAGGAGCAGGCAGAGGGACTTGGCACGCCAGCTGCGAGCAACGGGCGACATGACCTACGGCCAGCTGAAGTCCCTGGAGGCCCACGCCAGGCAGGCCGCCAAGGCTTTCGACTTGAGAGATGCCAAGGGCCGCACCAAGGCCTGGAAGGAGTGGTCCCAGGAGGCGGTGCGTGGGGGCGCGGGGGCCGCCCACGGTTTCTGCAGGGCTCCGCGGGGCTGGACTGCGGACGTGGAAACCAGTGGGCGGCCTGCCGGCATCGCGGGCACGTTGGAAGCGCTGAAGACGGAGTACCAGCAGGTGTGGCGACACCAGGAGGAGGACTTCGACCTGGAGGCGATGCTCCCCGACGAGCTCCTGGACGCGGCCCCTGGCCCGCCAGCGCCCGACGCCATCCGAGCGGCGGCGAGGGCGTTCAAGGCCGAGACGGCGACGGGGGTGGACAGCCTCAAGCCGCACCACTTCGGATGGCTCTCCGACCATGGCATCCTCGCGCTCAGCCTGCTGTTCCACCTCATCGAGCTGCGGACGGAGTTCCCGTCGCAGGTGGCCGAGGTCTTCATTTTCTTTTTGGCCAAGCCCGACGGGGGCTGGCGGCCCATCGGGCTGATCGCCTCCCTGATCCGCCTGCTGGGCAAGATCAGGCACGACGAGGCGAAGCGCTGGGAGGCCGCCAGAGACAGGCCCTACTTCTTCGGCGGGGCAGGCAGGTCCTGCGAGGACGCGGTCTGGCTGCAGAGCTTCGATGCGGACCACGCGAAGACGCTGAACCTGGAGGCCGCGTCCACGCTCCTGGACCTCAGCAAGGCCTACGAGAGGGTCACACACAGGGGGATGGTCCACGCCGCGGGGAGGGAGGGCTTCCCGCTGAGGAGGGTCAAGATCCTCCTTCGCCTCTACGGAGGCAGGAGGCGCCTCTGCTTGGACCGTTGGATGACGGAGGCCTTCCAAGTTTACCTGTCGCTGCTGGCGGGCTGCTCCTTTGCCACGACGCTGCTCCGAGTGGTGTTGGTCGAGCCGCTGGACGCGATGTTGGCGTCCTGGCAGATGGTGCGGCCATACCTCGTGGTCGACGACATCACGTTAGCAGTCTATGCCAAGCGTGCGCAGCTGGAGCACCTGTTGGTCGGGGCCACCCGTGCCCTCTGCGTGGACCTGGAGGCCATCGGCTTCACCATTTCCTTGACGAAGGGCCAGGTTCTGTGCACCGACCCCGACATCGCCAAGCGAGTCGCCCACAGGCTCAGACGCTGGAAGTTCACGCACGTGAAGGCCACAAAGAACCTGGGCGTGGACTTCACCATGGCAAAGTCGGCCTCTTGGAGGGTGCTACGGCAGAGGATCGATCGCCTGAGCCAGAGGGCTGGGCGATACAGAGCCTTGCGCAAGGCGGGGGCCAAGAGGCTCTCGAGGGTTTTCAGGACTGGAGGGTTGGCGTCCATCCTCCACGGCGCGAGAGTCAGCGGAGTACCCACGAAGACCCTGCAGCGCGCCCGAGCAGTCAACGGCAGGGCCATCTCGGGCGAGATCGGCCAGAGATCCAGGACGTTACTCTTCGCCCTACAGGAGGGCAAGGACTGGAAGCACGACCCTGCATACGCGGCGCACGTCCTCCCGTTGAAGGCTTGGGCTCGCGCCGTCTTCCTACGAGTGCGGCCCCCTGCGGTCTTCAAGCAGGTACTGAAGTGCAGACCAGGCGACTGGGGCGAGGCCACGGGGCCAGCAGGGGCGGTCCGCCTCTCGCTGGAGCGCATCGGCTGGGAGCTGCTGGACTGGCACCGTTGGAAGGACGACCGCGGGCAGATCCTCGACATGCAGCTGCTCAGCCCGCGGATGGTGGCCAGCCTCGTCGAGAAGGGGGTCCACCGCCACCTCATGTTGAAGATCGCGAGCCACGAGGGTTTCGAGCACCTCCAGGGCCGCCCGCCCAACCTGGAGCCGTTTAGGACGGCTCTGGCGGGCATGAGGCGCGCGGGCAGGTCGCAGGAGGCAGCGCTGGTGGAGACGCACATGGCAGGGGGGCTCGTCACGCAGTCCGACCTGTACGGTGAGAGGGCGGAGCTCAGCCCGCTGTGCCAGTGGTGCGTGGAAGCACCAGGCACGGCGCACCACAGGCTGTTCGCGTGCCCCGCCATCGCCTGCTGGGCGCGCGACCTGGGCTTCCAGGAGATCGCCGACGCAGGCAGGAGGGCGCCGCAGGACGACCTAGGCCTGGTGAGGGGCCTCGTCAACCTCGGGCTGGACCAAGCCCCGCCCCCTGGCATGGACGAGCTCTGCCACCGCGCAGGTTGCGCGCGCCGCGGCTTCCTCGAGGGTGTCATCTGCATCGACGGTTCCGCGATGTACCCAGAGGCCCCGTGCCTGACACGCGCGGGATGGGCAGCAGTGGTGGTGGACGACGTCGGGAACACCGTCGGCGGGCTCTTTGGGCTCACGCCAGGCTGGATCCAGGAGATCGGCTACGCGGAGCTCTACGCGCTGCGCAGGGTCCTGGAGGAGGTCGGCCCATCGCCCATCACGGTCTATACGGACTGCAAGGGGATCAAGGACGACTTCGAGGCAGGTCGGGGACGCTGCTGCGGCCCAGACCACAAGTACGCGGACCTGTGGAGGCGGATCTGGCAGTTGCTCGACGACCTCGGCCCTGGGTTCCTCACCGTGACGTGGTTGCCGTCGCACATTTCGTGGGCCAGGGCCAGCGCTGCAGGGGTGCCGTGGCTAGCCTTCGCGGGCAACAGGGAGGCCGACGTGAAGGCGAAGGAGGGAGCCAGGCTGCACCCCAGGCAGGATCGGCTGAGTGAGTTGAGCCGCCGCCTAGACGTCGCCACCGCGCAAGCAGAGGCCTGGTGTGGCCACCACGGGGGGATCCTGAAAAGACTCGCCGACCTCGGGTGGCCCGATCGGGGGGCCATCCCTAGGCCCAGGGGCGCGGATCCTGGGACCCTGGCCCTGGTGGGGCCCGACAGGGGCCACGCCCTGGCCAGGCTCGGTCGAGCCTGGGGCTGTTCGGTCTGTGGGATCCGTCGGGCTACCAGGGCCAGGGTCGTCGCCAGCGCCTGTCCAGGACTCCCGTGGTTGGTCGCCAGGTCCCACCCGTCCCACAGGCTTTGGGTGGTTCGGGGCGGGGGCGGGCCGGGTCGGAGGTCCTCTGGGACGGGTGGATGTCTCGTGTTTTGTCGGACTTGCGGGGCCCACGGGAGTCGCCAAGCGAAACTCCTGGCCGACCCCTGCGTCCCGCTGGCCAGGAAGGGCCGCGACGCGGCTCGCCTGGCCCGCCGCGCCCTCGTGCACCTCAGAGCGGGGCGGGAGCCCCAGACAGGAAGCCGCTGGGGGGCGGTCCCGTTCCCCGTCTCGAGGGCGGCGGCGAGGTGGGTTTAGTTTGCGAAGTTTTGGCACGGACTCCAAGGGGCCCTCCCGCGCCAGGCTCCCTTGCCTGGCGGGTCCTGGGTCTGCCGTGGAGTGTTTTGATCCCCGTTCGGGGCCGAGGCTGGTTTGCGGAGCGGACCGCCTTCTGGTAGGAACTAGAGGAACTAGAGGAGGAGGAGGAGGAGGAGGAGGAGGAGGAGGAGGAGGGGGGGAGAGGGGGAGAGGGAGGCGGAGGCGGAGGCGGAGGGAGGAGGAGGAGGAGGAGGATGAGGAGGAGGAGGAGGAGGAGGAAGAGGAGGAGGAGGAGGAGGAGGAGGAGGAGGAGGAGGAGGAGGATGAGGAGGAGGAAGAGGAGGCGGAGGAGGAGGAGGAGGCGGAGGAGGAGGAGGAGGAGGAGGAGGCGGAGGAGGAGGAGGAGGAGGAGGAGGAGAAGAATAAGAAGAAGACTAAGACTAATAATAAGACTAAGACGAATAATAATAATACTACTAAGAAGAAGAAAGATAAGAATAATAAGAACAACAATAATAAGCATACTAATAAGAATAATAAGAAGACTAATACGAATAATAAGACGAATAATAAGAATAATAATACTAAGAATAATAAGAATAAGAAGAATAATAATAATACGAAGACGAAGAAGACGAATAAGAATACGACGAAGACGACGACGACGAAGCCGAATAAGCAGAAGCATAATCAGAAGACTAATAAGAATTATAAGAAGACGACTAATACTAATAATAATAATCGTAATAAGAAGAATAAGAATAATAAGCATACTAATAATAATACTAATAATGATGATACTATTAATAATAATAATAAAAATAATAATAATACTGATAATAATAACAACAATGATGATAATAATAATATTAATAATAATAATAGT